GATGGGGCTGCTTCTGGAAGGAGAAGCAGTGCAAGGCAAGTTCTGGGTGTGGCAGCTCATGGAAGGCTGCATGGGTTTCTAGTAGCACCTGGCATCTCCTCCCTGGGGCCTCAGCCTGTACCTGCTTTGTCCCTACTGAGTGAGCCACAGCCTGCTGACTTATTTAGAGTCCCAGCACCTACCCTCTCCCCCTCCCGGCTCACAGCCCAGGATCCTATCCTCCTTCCTGTTCCTGTCAATCTGGAGGTGAATGCTGCTGCCTGGTCATCATGCCCTCCCCCTCCTCTTCCCTACCCAGATAATTGTGTGCTTCCTCTCCACAGCAGGCCAGCTCCCGCTGCTGTCCATCCTTCTTCTCAGCCCTATTGAGACCAATTGCCTTCTGGATAAACCGCCTCAGGTCCTCACTTCAACATTCATTTCCCTCAGCACCCTGTTTAAATGAAACCATCCCCCCATCAGTCTGGTCTTGCTCAGAATAGGGACTGATGTACCTACAAGGAACATGGATCCTTAGGGACAGAGGTCAGATGTCATCTTTCATCACTCTCCAATCTCAGGTCAAGATACAGGGGAGGGGCATGTGTTCTTTCCAAATATTAACAGGAATGGAGCCTTGGGAACACGTTCTGTTTTTTATTCTTCACCCACATATTTAGATCTCAGGATACATTAGAGGACATTGGGACATTATTAACTAGTAGGTGCAGATGTTGGCTGTATGACTGAGGAGAAAGGTCCGTTGGGATAAGATGCTCTTGGAGAGATATTTAGTCAATTTCACTTTCCCTTGTTATCTGTAAATGAGATTGATAAAAAGCCCCACCTCATTGTATGATATCCCACATATAGCTTCTATAATCGTTTTATTTTTCCTTTATCCTACTAAAAGTAACATCATACAGATATTAAATGAGATGCTTATATATATATTCGATTACATAGAAGTCCACAAGATATATTTTTGGTGAAAAAATACACAGTATAGAACAGCACTTATATTTGATCACTTTCATCTATACATATATCTATTTGGGCACACAGGTACAGGCAAATATCCAGAAAGACATTCATCAAAGGGCTGACAATGGTTATAACAGGGGTGAGATTTCCAGGTAATTTATACTTTTGTTCTTGTATTTTTCTTTATTTTTGAAAGGTTTAAGATACTCTTCATAAACAGAATAAAATCTTCAAAGAAAGACACACAAAGAGAGAATAGGCCTTTAAGCAGGCTGAAGAGGGAGCAAGGACAGAGGTCAGGGCATCCTTCTCCACTGCACTGGTATTCACGATCTCATTTTATTCCCAAAGGAAAACTTCATTGTGGATTAATTCATGCAGGTAGAAGCACCCCACCCCCACCCCACCTGCAGTTTCCCAAGCATCGGACTCTGAATACAGTTAAGGGTTCATTTAGGGCTGGGTCTAGCACCATACTGTGGCTCAGAAGGATCCTTGTGTTCTCGAAAGACCTCCCTTGCCCTCTCCTCTGTATGTGTTAGCTCCTGCAGAGTGATGATCAGATTCTCAAAAACCTGGGCCTTGTTGCTTTCATTGACACAGGTTTCTTTTGAATGGCCCTCTTTACCACAATAGGAGCATCGAATTATGTACTTGCGCTTCCTGATTCTACGAATATCCCCAGGACCATCATTCTTATTTCCAGAATGGCCACTGGTAGAAGGAGATTCAGGCCCATAATTACTGGGGGGATCAATGACCACAACCTGGTCCTGAGATCTGGCCCTGCCTCTGGGAGGGGTGCCTGAGGATGACAGTGGAGGGTCCCCAGACTCCACCAGGATCACATCCTCATCTGAGTCATCAAGGGTGTCATCTATCTCTATCACGTTGCCATTGTAGTCTGCATTACTGATCTCTATTGGCTGAGGGCCCTGAAATGCCACAGGGCTAGCTGCCCTCTCCATTACTGGCTCAGATCTTTTGGGCCGCTTCCGTTTAATAAAAGCGTCATCCCAATCTTCTTCCTCCCTTATCATCCTGATTAACTCCAGGAAATTGGGAAGATGCTCCTGCTCATTTGCATACATCCTGAGAAGACCCTTAAGCCTAAAGCGCAGGTCTCTATTCAGCTCAGCCCCTGCCAGGAGCTGGCGCAGTCGAGTCTGGTTTGCATCTTTCTCAGCTAGGATGCCTGCCTGAATAGCATTCTGGAGCTGCACCTCCAGACGGATCACATAAAGGGAGGCTTTCTCCCCTTCCGCCTGCAGGGTGTTAAAAAAATTACCATGGGCGGTCACATTGCTCTGAGACTCCCCAAACACCAGTTTCATTGCTCGCAAAAAATCGGACACATTCAAGTTGGGGTTGGCCGCCTGGAGCAAACGCATGACCTCCCGGGCAGGGCCCCTAAGGGTTTTCATCAGGCGGTTGAGCTTTTGTTCTTCTGACATATTCCAATCTGGCAGGACCCCATTGACTTGGGTCAGCCAGTTTTCAAAGGTTTCTTCCCCCTGGGCTGGCACCACCCTCCCCGAGAACAACTTCATGTTTCTTTCTGCCATGCTGACCATTAAAGGACCGAGACTCTGCCCCAGAGACCTCAACATGGAATGGGCCCAAGGAGGTAAAGGCGCATTCTGCCGCCGGCTGTTACCCACATGTGTAATGATGTTAGCCATGACTCAAGGCGATAGGGTATCTTAGTGCAAGATGCTCAGGCTTTTCAAAAAGCCTAATTTGCAGGAATACCCAGAGCAAGTTTCCTGGACCGTGCCTTGTAGGGACTGTAAGAGGGAGAGAAAAAAAAAAGTCAATAAAGCTGCAGGGAACCAGTCTGCTGTAGCATTCTTTAAGCTCTTGAATACCCTGCAGTAGGTTTTATCTGCCCATTGCCATAAAAAATATCCTTCAGGTGACTGGTAGTTAAAATCATTCAAAATAACAAGGTGTCCCTGTGCTAGACTTTTTTTTTCAGTCATATCTATATCCCTTCCCACCTTTCCTTCAGGAGGGGCAGGAACTGTTTTTAGAATTGTAGGTAAAAACCTTTGAAGCCAATGTTGAGCTCTCAAAAATAGAGTGCAACGGTGTAAGTTTCACAGATTTATGATAATAAGTAAAATATCCATTGATCTGATGGTCTTAGATCTCAATCACACCCCTTTCTCAAAGTCTACCCGGTTTTGGATTCTTACGCGTGCTGGGAAATTAGTGCTTGCCTTTATTTCATGTCCGGCCTCTGCAACAGGTGTCTTCAATGAGAGAGCTTGTCTCCCCAGTATGGCCGATCTTTGTCCACAGGGGGTCGCAGATCCGGGTGCTCTGAGCTTGGAGACTGCGCCACTGCGAAGGGATTGGAAGGGTCAAAGACGTCAGAAGCTGCCTCACCCGTCATGCTGCTACCCGCCCCCACCTCCACTATCACCAGGCAGAAAATTCCCTTCTCCCGTCTTTTGAATACCCCCACCCCCATTATATCCGCCCCCCCCCGGGAAACCATAAGCCTACCAGTTCTGCAATCAGATGTACAGAATTCAAGTTCAAAATTGGCTTTAATGGACTGCTATGGAGAAAGGGAATAGGAGTTAGATATCCCCACACCTTCGTATTTCATTTCAGGAAGAGATGAGATGCAAAGGGGATTCAAAGATAGCTTGAGAATCCTCTTTCATGCCCCTTGCCACCTCCCTAAAAATACCCCCTCCCCAGCCCTGGCAAATCCTACCCAGTCGCATCCAGGTGAACCCCACCTCCTTCCTCAGTGCAGCCAGGTCACGGGAGTCCGCCTTCCCCTGCTTTGCAGATACTGATTCTCCCAAGCCGCTAGCCGCCCGGCTCAGAACCGGTGGGCCTTCACTCTCTACTCTCTGCGTCATGCGAATTCCGCATCCCCCCCCCTTTTACCTTGGCTCCGCAGGTGGGCAACGGATGCTCTGGCGTCGCCTACAGTTCGGTTTCACCTTCCAGTCTCTGTGGCCCTGAAGGGGAAAAGGATGGCGCCTTCTCGGCTGCTAACGAACGCGGGCTGCCAGACCCTGCAGCTCAGCAAGGCTGCCCAGAGAGGGGCGGCTGAGTCTAGGCAGCGCGGTTTCCAAGGCAGCCGCGGCTGCCCCCGCCCTCCGGCTCGGCCCGCCTGCCCAGCAGCGGCGGCTGCTTTTAGCCTCTGCCCATTGAGACAAAAGAGTGTGACGAGGGGCGGCGTGGCCAATCAGCGTGGCGGGGGCTGCGGCAGACAGGCGCGGGAGCCAGCGCGGCGTCAAGTGCAGCTCGGACCCACGGACCGGGCCCATTTACATTTCACTCGTGAGTTTGCTGCTTCCTCTCACTTCCCTTCTTCCAATCCCCTTCCGCCTCGGCTCTCCTCTGCTCTTTGAGACTGGATGCTTTAAACACGAGGTGGGACAGAAAGCAAGTGAACAATGAGAGTTCCTCACCTTTGTATAGAGGGAAGGGGGTGGGTGGGAAGCATCTACTTTTTCCGCTTTCCATGTCCAAGTGCGCTCATATGGACATCTCATTTATTCTTCACAGTCTCCTTGAGAAGGCGGTAGCAGTGTGCCCATTTAACAGAGAGGGCGACATAAACACCCAGGCAGTACGGTTAGAAGTGCAGAGCTAAAAGCTGACACTCAAGTCGTCATATCTGACTTCAAAGGCAGTTCTTTGTAAACACTCCTTTCTACCATCATATTAAGGGTTAGTTGTGAAAAGCCTAAGTGGGCACGAGAGGACCAATTTGGGGCTGTATAGAATTAGCGAGCAAAGACTGCTATCTCCGTTTTACAGATGAGGAAATTGAACCAAAAGGAGCTTAAGCGTCTTGCCCTGTATCCTGCAGCAAATAAGTAGCAGTGTCTGATTTTGCACCCCAGTCCGTTGTTCTGTTGATGCCAGGTTTTTGCCCTGCTGCGCTGCCTGGAGAGCATTTTATGTAAGTAGTCTCAAACCATTTCAACAGCAACCTTGGTGTGATGGTGGTGCTGAGGGATGGGGTGAGGTGGGAATGGGGAAAACAAAAGAAGAGGAAGGCAATCTTTATGGTACCCATTGTACAGAAGAGGAAACTGATGCACTTTTCTTTTCCTTTTTTTTTTACACTAGATTTTACCCCACAACAAGCTGGCCAGTTTATACAAATAACATTATTTCTATAGCCCATTATGACCCCCAAAGGAGACAAGGCTCAGAGAGATGAAATAACTTGCCTAAAATTATCAGGTGAAGTCAAAATTTTGAATGAGTCTCTGAATACAGAATTCATGCTATTAACCAAAATGTGGGTAACCAGGCTGGCTGCCTCAGAGTCATCTTGGAGAGCTTTGCAAGATGCAGATTCCTGGGCCATGTCTAGGGGTTTTGTCAAGGACTAGAAGTGAGCAGTGTGATCTGTATTTTTAACCATTGCTGTAGTTGATTCTGAGGTGTAGACCACTGTTTTAAGTGCCACACCATGCTGTAGGTTGTAAGTAAATGGTCCTGTCATCAGTATATTTGTCCAGAGCATACCTGTCATGAAATGTTACTCCCGGGCAAAGGTTCCTTCCTACGGTCCTTCCTGAAATTGTATGCAAAGAATTTGAACTCTGTGTGTTTTTCTGAGTCTACAGCTTTGTCAATGTTTGAATGGATCTATGGCCCCCAAACAGTTAAGAACCACTCTGCAACAGTCTTTCTTCATGACATCTTCCTCCTTCAACTCCTGCTTGAGGAAGAAGTGTGAGAAATGAAACACTATTTGACCTCACCCCCACACCACAGCTCTGTGCCGCTGATATAGCTCTTTCATTTCCTGGCTCAAGGATAGGTTGCTAGGTTGCCCTTCTGTGAGCTCTTCAGGAGACTTCTCCTTTGCTGGCTTTGGCATCACTGGCCCCAGAGAAGGAGCAGCTCCATGGAAACGGCATGCAGGGCTGTCCAGAGTGAATGGGCCATGAAGCCAGTGGGTAGAAAACCTGCTCCATTTTCTTTGACGTCTGGTTCTTAGAGAGCAGGTATTACTTCCCTTATGTAGCCTGTGACCAGGAGACCTTGATGGGACTTGTTCTTGATTCCTGATGCTTGGAAATAAATGAGCAGTTTGATGGTGTTCAACCCTGTTTGGTTCAGCTTCAACCTATTGAGGTACTTCACCTGTTTCTTTCTGCCCTCTTATTTACAACCTTGTTATCTGGAATTTCTTGGAATAACCAATCCAGATTTGGAGGGGGGAAGCACCTTCCATTCCAGAATCGTGGCCTTCCTCTTGGGGATGGAACAGTGTTTTAGTGGTGGTAGAAGGTGAAAAGTGCTAGAGGCACAAAGAAGATGGATTGTGCATCTTGCACAGGCAGGGGTGAGGTTGGCAGTAGCAATTGGGTATCCTTTAGACTCTTGCTTCTGCTCCCAGTGCTATGATGTTTGACCCTGGCCTCTCAGCAGACTCATATTCTATGTTTTTATTGGCCTTATCTCTAAATTGTGTATATGCCATTGGACCTGGTGAAGGTAGAAACAGATAGGACCAAGAATATATCTCAGTATTCTGACAAAAATACTAAGGCAAATGAATTGTGTAAAGGTATAGGATTGGGCCATTAGAACAAAGTAAGGGTCTCTTTGAGCAGCCTTGGGAGCAACATTGCAAATTTGCAAGTCCACTCCAATTGGATACAAAGATTCCTTATCTCTGGCCTCATATGTGGGAGTGTGTTCCAAATGATGGTTCTAATGAGACCACATTTTCCAGTTTCAACAAATAAGCCTTTTAAAAGCTTGAAGGTTAGGAGATAAAGCTCTCAGATGATACAATAATAGCAACTTTTGGCTGCCTGCCTCCTCCTTGCCAGGAACTTTCCATCTGTTATTTCATTTAAGTTTCTCAGCAACCTTTTTGAGACAGGTATTGTGATCCCATTTTGTAGAGTCGGAAACTGAGTTTCAGGGAGGTTAAGTAACTTGTGTTAGGCCACACAACTTGAAAGTAGAGCTACTGGACTCTAGCCCAGGGCTGGCAGGGTCCAAAGCCCATGAAAACTCTACTGTCTTCCAAACAAGCAATTTAAAATGCATTCTGCAGAGCTGGTAGAGCACTTGCCTAGCATGTCTAAGGCCCTGGGTTGATCCCCAGTATTGAGGGGAAAAAAAAAAACATTTGCAGATGACCCCTGCATACCACCAATGGCAGCCTTTGGAATCATTTAGTTGTAATCATACCTTTTTGATATTATCTCATTTTTTTAAAAAATGAAACTACTAACATCAGTTATGGAGCAACTTATATCCTCAGATGTTTTTGTTGTTGTTGTTGCGTTGTTTGGTACTGGGGATTGAAGCCAGGGGCCGTTAACCACTGAACCACATCCTCAGCCATTTTAAAATTTTATCTAGAGACAGAGTCTCACTGAGTTGCTTAGGGTCTTGCTGAGAAGCTGAGGCTGGCTTTGAACTTGCAATCCTCCTGCTTCAGCCTCCCAGGCCACTGGGATTACAGGTGTGTGTCACTGCACCTGGCTCCCCAGTTTTATATGATTCATCGCATGCAAACTTTTTTTTTTTTTTGGTACTAGGGATTGAACACAGAGGTGCTTAGCCACTGAGCCAATCCCCATCCATAGCCTTTTTTATATTCTGAGGCAGGGTCTTACTTAGTTGCTTAGGGCCTTGCTAAATTGCTGAGGCTGGCTTTGAACTTGAAATTCTCCTGTCTCAGCCTCCTGAGCCATGATGGGATTACAGGCATGGACCACCATGCCTGGCTCATGCAACTTTCTTAACAGTTAGTTCATAAAAAATGTCACTAGGACTTGAGAAGGTTAGGAGGCTTGACTAAGGTTATAAATTTAGGAAATGGCAGAGTGAAACTCAAACTCCAGGGCTGCCTGACTGCAAAGTCCATGTATATTCCCTGCAACATGCTGCAGTGGGGAAAACAAATATGGCCGTCATTCCATATTGGCTCCTCTGTCAGCCATGGCTCTGTCTCCTTTCACTGTCTACTGGCAGCCACAAGCATAACTCACACTTTTTTTTTTTTTTTTTGGTACCAGGGATTGAACTCATGGGCACTCGCCCACTGAGCCATATCCTCAGCCCTATTTTGTATTTTAGAGACAGGGTCTCACTGAGTTGCTTAGTGCTTTGCTTTTGCTGAAGCTGCCTTTGAACTCATGATCCTCCTGCCTCAGTCTCACTAGCCGGTGGGATTACAGGTGTGCACCACCGTGCCCGGCTCCACTCATACTTTTAAGTCTGTGCTTTAGGCCTCTTCCTCAGCCTAGACACTTGCCCTCAATCTTCTACCTAGCAAAAGCCTACTCACTGTATAAGGATTGAAATCAGATGCCTTTCCTCAGAGAAATATTTTGTTAACACATATTAATTGTACATATTCATGAAATTCAGTGTGATGTTTCCATATATACATACAGCATAAACTGATCATATCTACCCACCCTTCTTCCACCTTCCTCTCACCTTCCCAACCTCCCCAACCTTTAGTATTCTAAATTCAAATTGACATTTTTAGTTTCTACATATGAGAGAGAATATGCAGTACTTGTCTTTCTATATCTGGCTAATTTCATATAATATCCTCCAGTTTCATCCATTTTGCTAAAAATGACAGGATTTCATTGTTCTTTATGGCTGAATAATATTTCATTGTGTATATACTACATTTCTTTATCCTTTTATCTGTTGATGGGCAGCTAGGGTAATTCCCTGTCTTGGCTACTGTGAAGAGTGCTGCAATAAACATGGGCATGAAGTACTTCATTGGAATGCTGATTTCATTCGCTTTGGATATATACCCAGGAGTAGATAGCTGGATCATATGGTAGTGTTATTTTTAGTTTTCTGAGGAACCTCCATATTTTCCATAGTAGCTGTACTCATTTATGTTCCCACTAGCTTTGAGTGTCCCCTATCTTGAGTGGAACACATTGTTCTTGTCTTTCTGCTTTGACCTTGATTAGTGTCTCGTTTTGTCTTCCAGTAAAGTTGAGCTTATTGTTGAGCTGTCTCACCCACTGAATTTTCAAGGCCTTGAGAGCAGGCACCCAGTCCTATTCATCTCTAGCTATGCAGTAATTTAATGGCTTAGAAGATGATCAGTACATGTTTGTAAGGTGTTCAAAGGACTGGCTAAGGATGCCCCAAATGAATGGACAAATGTTGAGCTGGATCTGGGGATGGTCACACTGGATACCCATTTGCACTATACTGGTGAGAGGAGTCTGGACTACCCTGGGGTCATCTGACTGTGTTGTAAACATAGGAGGCAGATCATAGGGTTCAGGTGATAACTGCTCATGCCCAACTCCAGGCCCATTCTCTACTTTGGAATTCATGTTAAAGGGACAGACTCTCCTGGATCACTTATGGTGCATGTCTGCATTCATGGAAGAAAGGCCTTTCCTGGCTCCCATATGAACATGAGGTTTGTTCCACCATGCTTCTTCTGGTAATGGCTAGCTTGATAGTGTCCTGTAGGAGCAAATGCTCTGTGGAGACAGAGGGTAAGGTTGGGAAGCATCAGTTTTAAACATATTTTTTGTTGAAGCCACCAAGTCATGGATTCTCAGCCACTTGATCTCTTTTTGTTATTGTTGTTGTTGATGGATTTTTTTATTTTATTTGCTTATTTATATGTGGTGCTGGGAATCGAACACAGTACCTCATGAATATAAGACGAGCACTCTATTGCTGAGCTACAACTCCAGCCTTGCCCCTCAATCTCTTATATTTTTGATTTTTGGAGCCACCTTTGTGGTAAGTCTTATGGCCCTCATTTTATAGCTGAAGAATATGAGACTGAATGAAGCTAGTGTCTTGCCCAAGGTTACACAGCTAAGCAAATAATGAAGACATGATTCAGTCTCAGATCAGTAGGTCCCCAAAGAATCTTAATAGAAAAATACACAGAAGAAATGTGGGCTTCCTTTCCCCTATAAAATAGAAATATATTTATAAAATGATGAATTAGATATTTAAGGTAAAGTGTTTCTAAATTATTGTTTATCTTTAATCTCTCAAAAACATTTGCATAAATGACAGAAGGAAGGGTTAGAAAAATATAAATCCTCTACAACTATTGGACTGAATTTCCCCATATTTACCCCCTATAAATTATGTAGTTATAGGGATACCTACAGAACATTTTGCCCTTTCTCCTCATTTTATAACCAAGGTGTCATGAATTTCTAAAGGTCATATTAAAAAGTTGATAACAGAACTGGTGCTTAGAAACCAGTCTGCCAAATCCTAGCCATTTTATTTTATTTATTTATTTAAAAATTTTTTTAGTTGTAGGTGGACAAAATATTTTTATTTTATTTTTTTTAATGTGGTGCTGAGGATCAAACCCAGTACCTCACACATGCCAGGCAAGCATTCAACCACTGAGATACAGCCCCAGCCCCAATCCTAGCCAATTTATATCTGCTAAATCAGCCTGCCTCATAGAGTCAGTGAACCCAGATTTATAAAAAGGTGGGGAGAAAGTAAAATATTACTGCACTCTGAGTTAGAAGAGGAGACAAACATTTGCTCACCACCTGTCTTTACTTAGGTATACAAAAGACTTAAATAAGACCTTTGATAGAAGAATTTACTGTTGGGGCCCCCTGTGGCTTTGGGGACCTGAGTGAAGCTGCCTCCTGCCTGCATGTGGGGGAGGGGTCCCCTTTGGCTCTACAGAGAAGGAGGTGGCTTCCAGAGGCCCAGAGGTGCCCCAGAGGAATTCATGGATTGGGCCTCTTAAGCCATCACCTCTGGTCAGGCCTCAGCTAAGGGGTCAGAGGCAGAAAGGCCCTGCCAGTCTCCTTCTGGCCTTGAGGGTCAAGGAGGCTGAGGTTTAAGGCCAACATGGAATGCTGGGAGCAGGAGAGGGGTGATGGGCAGAGCACAGGAGGCTGAGTCTCCACCCCTCCACCAAGCGATGAGAGAGGCTCCAGGGGAGGGGGCAGCTGTAAGGTGAGATTGTGGGGGTAGAGGTGGAACAGGACAAGAGGCCAGGGAGAAACAGAGCTGATGGGGCTGCTTCTGGAAGGAGAAGCAGTGCAAGGCAAGTTCTGGGTGTGGCAGCTCATGGAAGGCTGCATGGGTTTCTAGTAGCACCTGGCATCTCCTCCCTGGGGCCTCAGCCTGTACCTGCTTTGTCCCTACTGAGTGAGCCACAGCCTGCTGACTTATTTAGAGTCCCAGCACCTACCCTCTCCCCCTCCCGGCTCACAGCCCAGGATCCTATCCTCCTTCCTGTTCCTGTCAATCTGGAGGTGAATGCTGCTGCCTGGTCATCATGCCCTCCCCCTCCTCTTCCCTACCCAGATAATTGTGTGCTTCCTCTCCACAGCAGGCCAGCTCCCGCTGCTGTCTATCCTTCTTCTCAGTGGCGTGCCTTCTGGACAAACTGTCTCAGGTTTGCACTGAGCATTCATTTCTTTTTGCTTACTGTATTTATTTTCTTCCCCCCTTTTTCTTTCTCCCTCCCTTCTTACCCCCCATTTTTTTGAAACAGGTTTTTAATACATCACCCAGTCTAGTTTCCAGCTCACGGGCTCAAAGGTAGTCTCCTGCCTCAGCTTCCCAAGTATCTGGGATCACAGTCATAAACCACCATGAGTGGCTCTCATTTATTTTTTTAAGTATTTTTTAATTGTAGGTGGATACAATGTTTTTATTTTATTTACTTATTTTTATGTGGTGCTGAGGATCGAACCCAGTGCCTCACATGTACTAGGTGAGCGCTCTACCACTGAGCCACAACCACAGCCTCTCTCATTTCCTTTTGATCCCAAAGTTCTACCATTCTCCTTGTTCCCAGATTGGTTCTCATAATACTCCACCTGCTTCCAGACCTTTTAATAGTTTAATAGTTTACATTACCTTTTCTTTCTAGTACTGTGATTCTGAAACCCAGGGCTGTTTTGAATCCCTGGGGACTAAGGGTTATGTCTAGAGAAATTTTCAATTGTCACATTGGGTGGGTCTTAATTGGTATGCAGTGAGTAGAAGCCAGGCATGCCACTAAACTTCCTATCTTGCACAGGACTAGAACTGATAATAAATATCCTGCTCACAATGTCGATGGTGTCAAAGTTGTGAAACACTGCTTTATTATTTAGGTACTCCTCTTTTTTTTTTTTTTAAATGTAGTTGTAGATGGACAGCATGCCTTTAGTTTATTTGTTTCATTTTCTTGTGGTGCTGAGGATTGAACCCAGGATCTCACACATGCTAGGCAAGTGCTCTGCCACTGAGCCACAACCCCAGCCCCATAGGTACTCTTGTTAAAGGTTAAACTTGGAATTTGCCAGGTGCTGAACTTCTTGGCATTGTACTTCAAGGGGCAGCTGCTTCTTCCTTCTCTCAATTGGGAGAGGGGTCCAGGCATTGCTTTAAGACAGCTACAATTTAGGCAGAAATCTATAGGGGGTGGAGAAATTCTCCCCTCCCCATATTTACTACCAACTTTTACTTATTTATTTATTTAGGTACTGGGGATTAAATCCAGAGGCACTTAACCATTGAGCCACATCCCCAGGCCCTTTTAAAAAAATATTTAGTTTTTAGTTATAGTGGACACAATATCTTTATTTTATATTTATGTGGCATTGAGGATCGAACCCAGGGCCCTCGCATGTGCTAGGCGAGTGCTCTACCTCTGAGCCACAACCGCTGCCCCACCCCAGCCCTTTTTTATATCTTATTTTGAGACAATGTCTTGCCAAATTGCTTAGGGCCTTTCTAAGTTGCTGAGGCTGTCTTTGAAATTGCAATCCTTCTACCTCAGCCTACTGAGTAGCTGGGATTACAGGCATACCCCACTGTGCCTGGAACTACCAACTTTTTTAGAGGAAGTGTTGCACCACATCTTTTGAACACCTTTTTTTTTGGTACTAGGGATTGAACCCAGGGATCTTAACCACTGAGCCACATCCCAGCCCCTTTTAAAAAGTATTTTATTTAGAGACAGGGTCTCAGTGAGTTGCTTAGGGCCTTGCTAAGTTGCTGAGGCTGGCTTTGAATTCATGATCCTCTTGCCTCAGCCTCCCGAGCTGCTGGGATTACAGGCACGCACCAGCTCGCCCCACCTCTGAACGCCTTTTTAAAGAAAATTTGAGGGGGCCTAATGAGTGTAGTTTAGTGGTAGAGTACTTTACCTAGCATGTAGGAGGCCCTGGGTTCAATCCCTAGTGTTACACATACACATACAATGTTTTTGGAAAGAAAATAGTAACAGTCTAGTAGTAATTAATAAAATGCAAAGTTTTATTCAGTGAAAGTTGAATGCAATAGGTTTTAGAGCCCTCTCTCTTCAGTTTTCATGATTTTAATTTGTAATCCTTTAAATACTGGAATATTTGCGGTGTCTAGATGTGACTATGAAAAACTATCTTGGGCTTGGATTGTTGTGCAGTAGTAGAGCGCTTGCCTAATGTGTGAGCCTTTTGGGTTCAATCCTCAGGACCACATAAATATAAATAAATAATTAAAATAAAGGTATTGTGCCCATCTACAACTAAAAAGAAAATGAAAAAAAAAACCCTTAACTACATTTTAATTTAAGGCTGGTGAATTCTTAATTTGTTAAGGGTATGCCTGTTTCTCAGAAACTGGCCCAAAGTGTTGCTTATTTACGTAGACTTGAGTTTCTTGGGTCTCCGTTTCTAACCAAGCCATGATAATGCTGGCCAACATATTTAAATTGTCAATCTAACTCTCATCATCTTTGCCAGTTTCTTCCAGCTGCAACCAGTTGTCTTCAGCATGGGGGAACAGAACCACTCTGCAGGGAAAGAGCTTCAGCACAGGACACGAACAGAGGCTCCAGCAAAGAAAAACTGGCACCCCCAAGCCTACACTCTTGGGGCCATTTCCAACTTTATGTCTACTTTTCTGACCTTTCCTATCTATAAGGTGGTATTCCGGCAGCAGATCCATGCTATGGCAGTGTCAGAGGCTGTGAGACAGCTTTCGCATGAAGGTCCTCAGTACTTCTACAGGGGAATCTACCCTCCTCTTCTCTCCAAGACATTGCAAGGGACTCTGCTATTCGGGACTTATGATAGCCTGCTGTGCTCTCTTTCCCCTGATGGGCCACATTCCCTGGGACACCGATGGACTGCAGGGCTCATGTCTGGGGTGGTGGAGGCTGTGGCACTCAGCCCCTTTGAAAGAGTTCAAAATGTCCTCCAGGATGGTCGCAAGCAAGCTCGTTTCCCCAGCACCTTCAGCATTCTTAAGGAATTCAACTCTTATGGGCTGTGGGGGCGGCTGTCACTGGGCTATTATCGGGGTTTCTGGCCTGTTCTTGTCAGGAATAGCCTGGGGAGTGCTCTCTATTTCTCTTTCAAGGACCCCATCCAGGATGGCTTGGCAGAGCAAGGCCTGCCCCATTGGGTTCCTGCACTGGTGTCTGGTAGTGTCAATGGAACAATCACCTGTTTAGTTCTGTATCCTCTGATTGTGCTGGTTGCCAATATGCAGTCCCATATTGGCTGGCAGAGAATGCCAAGCCTGTGGGCTTCTGCCCAGGATGTGTGGGACACTCGGGGTCGAAAGGTATTCCTGATCTACCGAGGAGGTTCCCTGGTTATCCTAAGGTCCAGCGTGACGTGGGGCCTCACTACTGCTATCCACGACTTCCTGCAGAGGAAGTCTCACTCCAGGAAAGAGCTGAAAGACTGACTAGCTGCAGGAAGTGTGGCCATGGCATCTTTGTTCTTCTCAATCTTCCATGGTTGCTCCTATCTAACTTACTTCTTTGGCTTGGTTACCTAATGCAGCCATTTTTTAGCATCTGTCATTGCAGGAGTTCCCAACTACTAGCCTGTTGGGAACAGACAAAGCCCAACAGGAACTTTTGGTCAGAAAGGGAAAGTCCCTCCAGTCTATCCACAGCTTCAGTAGCCTCAGAGCCAGGAGGCCTTTAAATAACTTGTAACCTAGATTAAATGTCATTCTATTAAGGGATTCCTTAATAAGAAGACAGTTCAGCAGATGAATTGATTCAGGCTTTCTGAGTTCTGGGACCACTCCAGGTGTCCTCCAGACCAAATTGAGATCTCCAATTTCAAAGAACTATTCTTGACATTGAAGATGGAGATTCCATGAACCTTCTCAGATTGTCACATTCACTGCCTCTACCCCAATCACTAACCCTTCTTCAGGCTATAGGGCCTAGTTTCAGGGTAGCAGCTGTGGCTGGAAATCTTAAATTTGGTTCGCTTCATCTCATCAGGTGCCACAAGATCTGGTAGGGCTAAAAATGGAAATGTGAAGAAATTTGGTTCCTGATGGAAATAATATAGATTTTGAAAGATGAGATTTAATTACATGCAAAATAGAAAAAAAAAATACAATGGGTTGCTTGGTGTTACCTGCTGGGACATTTTTGATATCAAGGTAACATGGCCTAGAAACTACTTGAGTTTCCCTAAGAAATCTGGAAGTGAAATCACCATATCTCTTCACAAATAATTATGTATTTTGTTAATGTGGATAGTTACTATGACATAAAGATCAGAAATTTTAGTCCTGTCATTCAGAGACATTAAAAATATGGTCTCACTATAACTTAAACATTAACACACTTCTCCCACTTACGTGGACCCCATAAGCCAGCAAAATGAATTACTGTTTCCTTCCCAAACATGCCATGAACTTAACCCATGGTCATACTTTGGCCCATGCTATTCCCTCTTTGCCTGCAGTTCTTCTTTTGGCCAGTCTGCCCAAATCCTTCTAGTTCTTCAAAGCCCAGCTCAGATACCACCTTCTGTATGGAGCTTCTTCTCCATTTCCCCTACCTGAATGTGACATTAGTATCTTATGATGCCCCTTTCCAACAGCACATCAATGTGGCACTATTTCCATAATGTCACTGATTTGGCTTCGTATTCTTAGTGTTCTTCAATACCTCCTACTAGACTGTAAAACTTCTTGAAAGCAGGGATTCTTGTATATGAATTTTAAAATCCTCCATTGTGCCTAGGTGCTCAATAATGTTGGTGAATTATTGAATTGATTATCAAGCTGTGATATGGTCTATATCCTCAGGGTGCTGTCCCTTGTACATGAAGATAATGTTACTGACTCATTGTCAGCAAGATACATCCCTTTTGGGGTGTGTTTTGTTTTCTTTTAATAGTGGATTTAGTTTTGTGCTAATGATAATGATTTCAACAATGATGATGATAATAATAATAACACAAATGATGATGATGATAATAATCATAACAATAAATGACTTTCAATGGGAACACAAGGATGAGTTTGTGTTTTTTCTTTTTTTTTTCTTCTTTTTTTTGGTGGTGTCAGGGATTGGACCCAGAACCTTGTGCATGTAAGGCAAGCACTCTACTACGTGGGCCATATCCCCAGCCCCTGAGTTTGTGTTGTTGATGGCATATTTTTTATTAAGACCCCTTTAGCAACTGAAATTTCAGGAACAGAATCACATTGCATAGCTATCCCATTCATTTCCACTGTGGAATTTTGAGTATTTCCAAGATGGCATGTGTTGTAATTCTTCCCTTATATCATGATAATGCCCTCCACTTGCACTTCCTTGCTGACCTAAATGTGTCCTTTATAATAACTGGATTATAGATCTAGCAATGATAATTCTCCACTGAATGTGATAAAAATTAAAGACACAGTTATTGACCATATAGTATTAGCATTTACAGAGGGTAGGAAAGGCAGCAGAATACAACAGACACTAGTACGGCAGTATGTAAAACAGTGGATGTGTAACTGATGTGATTCTGCAATCTGTATACGGGGTAAAAATGGGAGTTCATAACCCACTTGAATCAAAGTGTGAAGTATGATATGTCAAGAACTATGTAATGTTTTGAACAACCAACAATAAAAATTAAAAAAACAAATAAATAAAATAATATGACCAAAAAAAAAAAAAAAGTATTAGCATTTGCCACTGAGGTCAATAGGACATGGATGTCCAGAAGAGCTGCAGGTGAGCTTCCACATCTGCAGAACTGGATGTATTGGAATAATGCTGTTGGCCCTCTCTGCCTTCAGGTTCCACATTCTTCATTCAATTAATTATGGATAGAAAATATTTGGAAAGAAATTACATTTGTACTGAACATAGAAAGCCTGTTTTCTTGCCACTGTTCATTAAATATAGTATAAACACCATTTACATAGAATTTACCTTGTATTAGGGATTACAAATAATCTGGAGATGATTTAAAGTATAGGATGGGAAGTTATATGCAACTGTGCCATTTTTTAAATAAGGGACTTGGGAGTCTGTGGATTTTGGTATCCATGGGGAGTCCTGGAACCAATCCCCTCTGGTCATGGATGCATGACTGTACTTGTGGATTCAAGGATATAGAACACATAGTTGGCACAAGGTAAGGAAACAGAACAGCAGTTAGTTATGTTTTAAGGCTCTCAGAAGAAAAATAATGTTTAAAAAATTTGTAACAACTTATGGCTTTAGTTTTTTTCAATATTTTTTTAGTTGTAGATGGACAAATACCTTTATTTTGTTTATTTATTTTTATGTGGTGCTGAGGATCGGACCCCACATGTGCTAAGCAAGCGCTCTACCACTAAGCCACAACCTCAGCCCCTATGGCTTTATTTTTTAAGCTGAAAAGAAGAGGGATAAACTGCCACTACTCCCTATTTTTATTTAAGAGATGCACCAATTGCCAAGTACATTGTTAATTTCTACTTATGTCACTGTCAGTTAGTGTTCCTTTCTTTATTCTCTTTTACAAATAATTTTAAACATATTAAAACGTTGCAAACATAAAGCATAAAGAATCTCTATATGCTTTTCACTCACATTCACCTATTATTAAAATTTTTACCAAATTTTCTATATCATTTAATTGTGCATTCTCTGTACAGGCACAATGTATTTTTTTCCTGAACTGAGAGCTGCATATATTAATTTCTATATTTAATAGTTATAGATTCCAATCTTTAAAGAAGACTGTTTTATCTCTATGATAATGGCATAGAGCTGGGGGTGTAGTTCAGGAGGCTGAAGAAAGAGGATCACAAGTTAAAAGCCTGTCTCAGCAACTTAGTGAGACCCTAAGCAAATTAGTGAGAACTTGTCTCAAAATAAAAAAATAAAAAAGGGCTGGAGATGTGGCTCAGTATCAGTATCCCTGTTTTTTTTTAAATTTATTTTATTTTTTTAAATTATTGGTTGTTCAAAACATTACAAAGCTCTTGACACATCATATTTCATGTATTTGATTCAAGTGGGTTATGGACTCCATTTTTACCCCGTATACAGATTGCAGAATCACATTGGTTACACATCCACGTTTTTACATATTGCCATACTAAGGAGACCCTGGCTGTTATACAAAATTACATATAAGAGGATATGAGGGGAAAGGGGGAAAAAAGACAAGGGAGAAAAATGAATTACAGTAGATGCGGTAGAGAGAGAAGATGGGAGGGGAGGGGAGGGGGGATAGTAGAGGATAGGAAAGGCAGCAGAATACAACAGTCACTAGTATGGCAATATGTCCCTGGGTTTAATCCCTGGTTCCAGAGGGAGGGACAGGGGAGACGGGAAGAGAGAGGGAGAGGGGGAACACATTCAGAAGAGAACTGCTATTTAAAAGAACATTCATAAAGCTATCACCCATGTAATAACATCCAGGACAAGAAATAGAACACCTAACCTCCTTACACACCACCACTAATAAATTCCTTCTTCCATCTTAGTGGTAACCCCTATTCTCACATTTGTGACACTTGTTTCTGTACTTTTGTCTATAGATTTACCTTCCTTATTATCATCCTTAAACAACATTTTTTCTTTTTGTGGTGCTGGGGATTGAACCAAGGGCCTTGTGCATGTGAGGCAAACACTCTACCAACTGAGCTCTATCCCCAGCCCCAACAACAAATTTGTTTTACTTATGCTTAAAATTTATGTACTCTGTAAACGTGAAACTGTGAATATCTTCTTTCACTCCACATTGTTGTGAGACTCATTCATGTTGCAGATAGCTGTAGTTGGTTCATTTTTAATGTTGGGCAGTATACCATTGGATGAATAAACTTTGAACCTTGAGGGACATTCTGGTTGTTTCCAGTTTTTTACTGTTAGAAAACAGAGCTACAATAAATATTCTTGGATGTGTGCATAAACATGGGTGTTTGTAGCTCATTTTCCTAAGAATGGAATTATTGGTTTATGGAACATGGATACTTTCAACTTCTCTAGATGATGTCTATCTTTTCCTAATGGTGTGTCCTAATTTACAGCCTTATCATCTGTTTAGGATTCCTATTGCTCCACCTGCTGGCCAAAACTTGGCATTAACAGATTTAATTTTTGCCTATGCAGTGGCGGGTAAAATGGCATCTCATAATTAGATTTTCCTGATTACTAATAATGGTGAGCATCTATCATATGCCTATTGAACATTAAGACTTCCTCTTTCTTGGAAGAAATAATTGAATTATGTATTCAAGACATTTGAATTTTTTTTATGTTGGGTTCTGTGGCTTTTTCAAATTAAATTGTGTTACTTGTTCTAACTTCAGTCCTGTGTCCTTTTTATGTGTTGCATAGATACCCCACTTAGTTACTTATTTTTTTCATTTCCTTATTGGATTCCTTTGATAATCAGAAGTTCTAATTATAATATAGCCAAAGTTATCATTTTTTTAATGATAAGCACTTTGTTTTTTTCAAAGAAATTATTTTCTAGTCCAATATCATATGTTCCCTTATATTAACATTCATACTTTTTATAATTTTGCCATTTACATTTAGGTCTTCAGTACACTTGGTATTGATATTGTGTAAAATGTGAGAATAGAGGTCCAATTCCATCCCCTCCCTCTTATATCCAATTGTTCCAATATCATCTGCTAAAAAGTCTTTCCTTCCCAATTCATTTATAATGCCAACCATGTGAAGAATATATTTTGGGGGTTGTTGCCTAATTACTGTAGCTTTAAAATAAGTTTTGATGTCTAATAGGGAAAGTCTTCCCACCTCAATCTTTTAAAAAATTTTTTTGTAGTGGTAGCATGCCTTTATTTTATTTATTTTTTATGTGGTGCTGACGATTGAACCCAGTGCCACACGCATGCTAGGCAAGTGCTCTGCCACTGAGCTACAGCCCCAGACCCCCACCTCAATCTTTTTTCAAGAGTTTCATAACTTTCTTATAAATAGCTACAAAAATAAATACAAGGTTTATTTTGTATAAAACTTAATGTTGAGACTTTAATTTCAGCAAAAGTAACTATTGAATTTTAATGTAAACAAAATAATGTTTTATTCTAATTTTAATGTTTCTCAAAGTTTTACAATATTCCTTCAGAGTGCTTAACATATTCTCTGTTGGATTCTTTTTTTTGTTTTGTTTTCAGTGCTGAGGATTGATCTTCGGGCCTTGAGCATGCAAAGCAAGCACTCTACCACTGAGCTATATTTTCAGTTCCTGTTGGATTTTATTAGTTGCTTTTTTTAAAATAAATTACTGACAATAAAGAGGATTCTCATGAATAGGATTATAATGGGATTCTTGTAGGTAATGCTATTATGCTTTGGTCCAAGAAAAAATAATTTTTAAAACTGAATTTCAAAATTTCAAAATTTTTGAAATTTTTAATTTGAATGCCATATTTTTAAATTTGAATGTATAAGAAATGACCTCCCCTATCAGTTCTCCATCTGCACCAGCCTAGATCACCCTCTGAGATCCAACTCAAATGTTACTTATTGTATGAAATCTTCCAGAATCCTGCAAGTCACAATAATTTGCCTCTACTCACATTGTCCTTTATTCATATATCTATTACAGTGCAGTTTACTGCTTTCTGAATATTTTGTGGCTGTGTATATCTTCTTCATGTTTTCTAAAATCCCTAAAGATAGGCGCCTATTTTATTTGTGGTTGTACACATCTCATTCCTTATTTAAGAACAGATTATATAGTAGATGCTCAATAAACGTTAAAGTACATGTTTCACTGGAAGAATACAGACATGAATAAGGCAGTTTCTGCTCTTGAGAGAAGCCAATAACATATTGAGGGAAAAATACAGTATACTATATGAGAAGCTATACTAGTGACACAGAAAAATCATGTGGAATTAAAAAATACAGCAGAAAAAATGACCCATTCATGGTAGTACAAAAACTATATAGGACATCTATGAATAATAACTAACAAAGATGAACAAGCATTATGCAGAAAATCATAAAATTGTGCTAAAGGAAAAATAATATATATATATACATACACACACACACACACTTGTCAAGAACTGTACAGGGTCTGGGATTTTACCCCATGTACAAGCTAACACATTTGCCTGCCATAGTTTCAAGTATTTTATCAGAAGACATAGGAGTTTTGAGTGAAGGACAAAGAATTTTATTACTCACAGAAACAGGAGTAGCTGTAGATTCATGTTGGTTTGTTCTTGTCCCCTATGCCTTCCAAGCTACACAAGCGCAATGTGAAGGAGAAATGATAGATGGCTGCACCCACAGTGCATTGCATTAAAGGAAAGTAATAGTAATTTGAAGGATCCAGTGCTTTCATAGAAAAGAGAAACAAGTCTGCTCCTTGTCTGGGGAGTGATGTTTCCTCATCCCTCAGGGTTAGCCATTGCAAACATGACCTTGAGAAAAGACCAAGTTATTAGAGCCCAACATTTTTGGCATACTCAGCAAGAACATAAAGGATACTCAGGGCCCATGGAGGGTTGTCTTTTCCAACAATACTCCATTATGAATTGGATATATGATATGGAAAGACTTTGTGTCAGTAAGATGGCAATTCTCAAATTAACCCATAAGTCCAATACTATTCCAATTGACACATTAACAGGTTCATTTTTTGGTGCAATTTAAGAAATGATTACAAAATTGAAAAAGGTATATATAGGAAATTGGTATATGAAAGATGGCATTGCAAAGAAGTGGAGAAAGGATAAGTAATTTGATACCCGTGATTGGGCCAATTGGTTTGCCTTATAGACAGAATTTAGATTCATGCCTTATACAATAAAGTCTAGATGTAGGCAACAACCAAAATGTCAAAATAAATAAAAAAATCAGAATGTCCTTAGAGAATAATTTTCTGAATAAATACCCCAAATACAAGTTTTTGAAGGAAAAGAAGTATATATTTCATTCCAGAAACATTGTATAATAAAATACATGAGAAATAAAAAAAACAATTAATAATTGGTATAAGCTTTATAAAAAACAAGTTACCATATCTTTTAAACCTGAATATATGATTCCTTATGACCAGCAACTCTATTCTTATGTATACAGCCAAGAAAAAAATGTACATATTTATACTCATAACAAAACTATATGTAGTAGCCCTAAAGTGGAAATAAATAGGGATGGGGATTTTATCTCAGTGATGGTAAGGGGAGGAGAAAGAAAGAAAAAATGTCCATCAAGAGTAGAATGAGTAAATAAATGGTGGTGTATTCATAATACATTGAAATGCAGTACACAAAGGAGAACAAACTAATGACAAATACACATGAACACATGGATGAATTTACACACCTAAAGTTGAATGTTGAGTAAAAGAAGACACATACACACACACACACACACACACACACACACACACAAAGTGTATATTTAAAGCATAAAGGAGGTAAACTAATTGTCAGGAGAGTGGCTATCATCTTTGCCCATAGTGGTGATTGGAAGGTTTCACAAGAGAGATTTCCGGAGAGCTGATCATGTTACATGTCCTGATCTCGGGACTGGTTAAATGGGTTTCATCACTTTGTGAACATTCATTAAGATGCACACTTAAGCCCAGTACAGTGGTGCCTACCTGTAATCCCAGCAACTTGGGAGGCTGACAAGGGAGGATCACAAGTTCAAAGCCAACCTCAGCAACTTAGTGAGGTCCTAAGCAACTTAGTGAGACTCTATCTCAAAATAAAAAATAAAAAAGGCTGGGAATGTGGCTCAGTCCCCAGGACAAAAAAAAGATGCACATATAAGATATGTTCATTTTTTTGTGTATGTATATAATACATGAATAAAATATTTGGAAACCCATGTCATAGAATACTTCCTAACACATGGCTCTTGAAGTAGTTGTGTGCATCCCAAAAGTTATTTTTCCTCAGACAAGTTTATTCTGGTTATACTAGTTATAAACCAACAGAGTGTAATGCAAAAAAGAACCATCAAGAGATTGAGAATTTTTTTTGTAAAATATATTACTGAGCTACAGCCCCAGACCCCCACCTCAATCTTTATTGTTATTAATTCTAACCACTAGTTAGAATACAGAATATATAAAGAGCCCATAAAAAAGCAATACTAAAAAGACAAACAACTTTAGAAAGTGGGCGAAGGATATTTAAAAAGGTACTTCACAGAAGAAGAAATACATATGACCAGGAAACTTATAAAAAGTTGCTCATCTTTATAAAATAATCTGGGAAATGCAGGTTCAAACACTAGAGAAATGAACTGGAAGGCTATACATCACATTCAGGATAGGAGTACATCTAAAATGGGGAAGGTTGAATGGAAAAGGGACAAAGGTCAAGGAAACATATTTTTTTTCATTATTTGCAAAAAAGAAAGTAAAATTAAATATACCTAAGTATTAACAACATGGAGGGTCAGTGTTGTGGTTCAGTGGTAGAGCACTTGCCTAGCATGTGTGAGGCACTGGGTTAGAGTCTTAGCACCACATAAAAAAATAAACAAAATAAAGATATTGTGTCTATCTACAGCTAAAAGTATTTTTAAAAATATTAACATTGAAATCTGAGTGGTAGAAACACTGGTATTTATCATTTTTAATGCCTGGAACATTGTAGGTATTCAACGATGAGTTCAATTTGTTCAATCTTTTGAACAAATGTGCCTTTCAATTTTAAGCAATTCTTTAAAAATATACAAAACTGAAATTGACACAAAGTGCCTCAAAAGCATAGAAAACAGTATGGAGTGAGGTGGGGAAGTTTGGAGAAATCCCTGTAAATAGTGATTTCTGACCTGTGTAGCTTTATATTATCATACATGAGCCATATAGAAAACATATGGTGCAAGCTATATATAGTTCTACTTTAATTTTACCTTAACACTCTAAGGTTCTGGGTGAGTTCCCAGAAAATGACCTTGAACTTGAAGTCCTTTCAAGTAACTATCAGATTCTTACTTTTCTCCCCAAATAGACACTGGGTGGTGCTGCTGTCCAAAAATTAAGCTCTTCATGGATTTATTACTTCAATCTACAGACACGTCTTTAACCAGTGTTTCCTGTGGGCCGTGCAAAGTGCTAGGGATTGGGGATATAAAGAGACCCAGTAGAGTCTCCTGCAATTATTCTAAACTGACTGCTATCATGTTCAGTGGTAGAGAAAGTGAAAAAAACAAATGTGGCTTTTACATAGGAGGGCACCATTGTCACAGAAACGTCTAGCCGTAGAAGTGAATGACCCTGAACCATCCACCCTCACCATGAGCAGCCCTACTATAGACCAAGGATTAGAACAGACCTCCCAGAGCACCTCTTCCAAGTTACTGTTCGACCATCGCAGCGAACTTCCACGGACTATAAAACGCCAAGAGAGCCTAAGCACTGCTCATTCAGCTCGAATCTCAAAAGTTCCAGACGTTCAAATCTAACTGGGCTTGACGTCTGCTTACTCTAGAGGACCCTACTACCTCGGAGGAGTACGGGTATTTGCGACAAAAGGAATGTGGACCCTCAGGACTAAAGCAGTGGAAGTGGGGAGTTGTGTCCTCCCTAAAATTAATCCTGGACCAGGGTCTGCTATGACGTCATCAAGTTTTGCGGCCACGGATTAAGTATATGGTAGAGCGAAGATGGTGGACGCAGGCCTGCTGGGCTAAAGCAGAGGCAGGGCGGGAGGCGATGCCAGGACCTCTCATCCAATCAGAGGGCTGGGGCGGGATATGGGGGCGGTGCCTGTTACCGATGTTTAAGTGCCTGGTTCTGCGCGGGAACGCCAACCTGCTCCAGAGTGAACGCGGCGGCAGTTAACCGACGGCTCTACGCTAGACTCAAGGCTTCAGGTGAGGACTTGTGGTCTCATCCGAATCGGAGGCCCACGGTTATGGGAGGGCTCAGGGCGTCTGTCGCGCCCTCTGGAGCCGAGGAGGCGGGGGTTGGGCTGGCGTTTGGCGTCTGTGCCACTGGAGGAGTCCTCGCCTTTGTCTTCCTGCAGCACCACCTTTTTTTGCGACATGGTTAGCCCTCCTGGGGGTCGGTTTCTGGAAGGCCCAGGGGGATGAACCACCAGTCACCTACCCACTGCAGCGGCATTTCCGGAGTCTGTGAGGACAAGGAGTTTGGGGGGCCACCCGGAATGGGTCTTCTGGGGCAGGCCCCTTATACCCTTGCCTCTCAGTGACCATTCAGCAGGGCACCAGGCAGTGACAATATTTTAAAATGTACACAAATCTTTCCTGGCAAATGGTTCCTGACAAACTCGCCAATAAGCCCCGCCCTTCCTTTATTGTTATTAATAATAATTTTGTTAATTCCGGTTTTCATAGCTTTCAGATTGGTGTCGGATCACTCGGCAAGAGGGCCTTAACTGAAGATTTATAGCTGCGTGTGTGTGTGTGTGTGTGTGTGTGTGTGTGTGTGTGTGTGTGTGTGGTGAGGGGCTCTTCATTCTGTTCTGGGCACTAGACGTGTCTTTCCTCACCAGGGTGGGGCCAGGCACGTACAGGAGAGCTCTCTTCCGGTTTGTGGAGTCTCCTATTGTCTCTCCTGGACAAATACAGGATGTTCAGAGGGCACCTCTGAGCCTCATCTTCTTGCTTCTCCCTTTACAGAGAAAATAGGGTGAAATAAGAATCAATTCTGTTTGCTTTACCCCATTCTGATGACCTCAATCTGATTCTAATTAGCTGTTCCTTACAGTATTTTCCAAACTAGTGTCACAAGACCTGTGATTAGTTCTGACCAGATTAAATCCTTCCTTTTCTTATTGTAGCTCTTTAATATACTGTCTTTGGACATTTAAAATGGAAAGAAATTAGTACAATTTTGCGTGTTACCTTTTTTTGTATGATGTGTCCTTCATCTCCCAGGGAAAATGCCAGAAAAAAGAGAACTTGAATAGAAGACAAAAACGCTCAAATAGTGCTTGCTCCTGTTACAGAATCATTAACTAGTCAAATCTAAATTTTCTTTTATTTTTGTCTTCTAAACCTGTTTGTGTGCTTCTATCACCTCCATTTTACCTTTGCTGTGATTTGAAAAGAGTCAGACATATTGGCTCTGCGTATCTAGAGCATCTTTTTCTACTGCATCTTCATCCACTGTGATCACTTACTGCCTACCAGAAATGGGCTAATGAAACAGAACTGAAAGCATTCTAATAAAAGTGTGACCTTTCTAAGCTCTTTTTCTGTTGAATATCAGCAGGTAAAATATACATTGATATTAAATTAAACGAGGACATTTTTTACTGTTACTCTTTAGTCTGAAGATAGTTCTGCCAATTAACTTAATTTTTTTTAGTCTTTCTTTTAGTCAAGATGAGTGATAAACCAGACTTGTCTGAAGTGGAGAAGTTTGACAAATCAAAACTGAAGAAAACTAATACTGAAGAAAAAAATACTCTTCCCTCAAAGGAAAGTAAGTAATGAGGGATTTTTAATTGACATGCCAACAAGGGTGGAAGTTGTTCAGTAAATAAACCCATATTCTAGTAAATTTTGCCACAAAATGGGCAGTAATTAGAGTATTATTGTATTTAAAGCAACAGTTAAAAATGTCAATAGTTGACTTTGTTATTGGGGTTATGTAAATGGTTCTCATATGATAGGCCTTAGTAGTATGTCGGAATAAAAAAACTAGTTTTTTTTGGGAAAATTACTAATAATCACATTAAATCCAATCTTAGAATATTGGACTAAACACTAGAAGAGCTTTGGTTTTTATCCACTTTCAGTTATCTGGTATTTTTCTGCATTTAGAAATTTCAGTCTGTGATCTCACCCCTAAAGAACCATGCACAGTCTGCAGTTTTGACCTTCTCTACCTGATGATAATAGGGAAGAACATGTATAGACCTTGGATATACTTAAGATTCCCAGACTTCAAGGGGTCAGTTTTACCCTCTAGAGTTACAGCCTTCTGAAGAAATTGCAAACATGTTTACAAATGCTCTGGGACACTTTTGTCATGTCAGCATTATTTGGGAATTTCAAAAAATATCTGGAAGTATAATTTCCTTATTGTATAGTGATTAAAAATGTGAATGAAAGTGCTTTGTTTTCTCTTCAGTCTCAAATAATCTATGGAAAAATGGCAATAGAATAAATAATAAATACCTCTCAAATGAAAAAAAAAGCCCACAGTTGATGTAGATTCTAATGTATGTTCAGGTGGTTAAAAAGCATGCACATACTCACACTATGAGGATTTGTGCTCAGTGCTTTGGCATCCTAAATTTAAAGTGTGTATGGCAGGCTGAAGTGACTTAGTAAAGAACTCAGTGTGTGTGTGGGGGGGTGGGGGGTGGGGGGGGTGGGAGGTGCTGTGGATTGAACCCAGGGACTCCTGCATATTGGGTAAGCACTCTGCCACTGAGCTGTACCCCCTACCCAGTAGCAAAGTGTTTTTTTGGAAGGTACTGGACTTAATCTTAGGAAAACACTCTCTTAACGATTTTTTTTGTTGCTTTTTTTTCCTTCTTAGCTATCCAGCAGGAGAAAGAGTGTGTCCAAACATCATAAAATGGGGATCTCCTCCCAAGAGCAAATTTCAACATTGATGGAGAGTCTTGGTTTTAGTAAACCCATGTATTCGTAGAAATTTTAGGCATCTATGGCTTCTCACTTGTACTCTGTGGCTAAGAGGTCAACACTAGTCAATGTTCCCTTAAATTTATTTTTAAACTTCTTCTTGGTACATAAATAAATTCCAAATGAAAGATGCTGTCAATAGTATCACCATTGATGATCTTTGTGTGTGTAGTCTTTGCAAACCCCATAAGGCAAGCCAATTTTAACTTAGAATGGGTACCTCTATTGCTTCTTAATATTCATGAAGTTACATACTTTTGCAGCTTCTCACAGTTAATTTTCATTTCTAATGTACCAATAAAATAATAAACACAGTCACTGTTTTCCTGTGGTTCATTCTTGGTGTTCTTGTAAGGAATGAAGTTAAGTGAGGGTACTCTTTTAAACTAAGCAAAGTCCTTGAAGGGAAATCTCTTTAGCAGCTTATGTGTAAGAGAAATGCTCCTCCCCACCCCCATCCAGGTCTGGTCAGTCCTGAATTGGGGATACTAGATGCTTTCCCCTTAGAGTTAGAATCATAGGTAACGTTGGAAGAAGAGGTCATGTGGACTAAACTTCTTATCTCAGAATGAAGAATGGAAACATGAGGTCTGAAGATAAGAAATCTGTTCAAGATGAGTAAGGGCTGGGATTCATGCTAACCCTCTTGTTTTCTGGAAAGTATTTTTCAACTTAATGGGAGGGAACACTCAAGGCTAGGGTTGAATGGGGAAGGAGGTAGTTGCTAACTTACACCATACTAAGCATATCAAGATATTCCATTGAGTGTAAACTCAGATGTTTAATATCACTAATGGCCTGTGGCACTGAAACTCTGGCCTGGTCCTTTTTTTTTTTTTTTTTTTTGGCACAAGGGGTGCTTAATCACTGAGTCACATCCTCAGCAATTTTTATATTTTATTTTGAGACAGGGTCTCCCTAAGTTGTTTAGGGAAACCTTGTCTCAAAATTGCTGAGTCTGACTTTGAACTTGTGATCCTCTGGCCTCAGCCTCCCAAGTGCTGGGATTACAGGTGTGCTCTACCATGCTTAGCCTCTGGTCTGGTTCTTGTACTGAACAGAATTTACTGTCTTATGAAGTGAACATTTTTGGTTGTTATGGTCAATGTAAGTACTACTGACTGAATTGTGAGTTGCAAATTCATATGTTGAATTTGCAAATTCATATGTCCTAACACCCAATGTGACTGTGTATCTGGTAATAGAGTTTTAAAGAAGTAATTAAAGTTAAATCAGCCCATAAAGGTTGGACTAATAGGACTGTGGGCCTTACAATAAAAGGAAAAGAGAATGAAATTCTTTCTACTATGAGAAGACACAATGAGAAAATGACCATCTACAAACCAGGAAAAGTACCTTCACCAGAATCTGACCATGCTGGACCTTGACCTGGGCTGGGACTTCTAACATCTGGAACTGTGAGAAAATAAATTTCTGATTTTTAAGCCACCAAGTCCATGGTATTTTGTTATGGCAGCCTGAGCTGATTAATATAATAAGGAATACATATAAATGCATGTGTCTCAATCCCTGCCTTTAAATGATACTTTTATCACTTTAAATTTATAAAACCAGTCATCTACAGTCCCACCAATTAGAAATGTTAATCATCCAGTATAACCATCCAGAATGTCATCTGTTAATATATATCATCCCTTAAAAGGGGATTATACTTCAATATCTATTTTTGACCTGAAATATTATCTTCTTTCCTCTTTTCTAAGGACTCATACCCTTAAATAATCACTGTAGTTAAGCAGAATGGAAGCTATTTTTTCTGGTATGATATGAACTTCCCATATGCAAAATAGTAAATGGGTCAACTTTGATCAAGTGCCAATAAGGTAACACAATCACAGGGTTTTTAGTAAGAAGATTTGAACCTTGTAAGTAAACATGTTAGTCTCTAATAATTTGTCTAGTAGAGTCACTTAATCCCTTGTAGTGATATGCTGCTTGCACTGTGCCCAAAGCTGCCTCCCTGTAACTTCTATTCAATACTCCTAAACTATGCACCAGAGGCTCATACAGCAGAGTTAATCTGAAGTTAGCTGATGTGTGCCTGCCCCTGTACCTCCAAGTCTTCTCCATCTACCACTTCACAGATCCTTTGGCCCAAGTTACACTGACAGGGGACATCCTGGTTCCACATAAGCACAAACTTGTTCATCATTAGATCTCTGGATCCTGACTCTGTTATCCAATATGTTTGTTCTCCTTTCAGTGGTGCCATTTGCAAAGACGTTATTCATCCATGATAGATTCAGAAACCTCTGTATTTGCACACTAACACAGCTCAAAGGAAGGCACGCTGGGATTAGACAAGAACTCCTAGTGTTAAGTTGCTTCTGGTAGCCATCCTTTTCAGTCAAGTATTGGTTCCATCCTGGGTAGATTAAGTGCTAAACAGAGTAGGAATAGATAAGTAGTGCATGGCAGGAGGTGAATGACATGTAGCTGCTAAGTAAATATTAATAAAGAATGGAGGTGGGAAAAACAATTTCTTAAATACATAATGTGGGGCACTCTTCTAGTCATTAGTTTCAGTTGCCTTACCAACAGTGGGAGGATTCCCCCCCCCCAATATGCAGGGATTATGATTTAGGGCCAAAAATCTTATTTTTTTTTTCAAAACTGACAGCACTAAGGCCTATTGTAGCAGAAAAAGGAAAAGGAAAAAGGCTGAATTTAAATGGTTTTCTTCTCATACACATTCATACCCTTTAAAAAAATACTGGTCAGTGTCTTTAAACACTTATCCTGTCATTGCACATAAGTAGATGTGACCTTAATTACTAAAAACAAAAAGGTCTTATAATAATGCTATTTTTAATTTTTTGAGAAGCTATTTACTAAGTAATATGCTATTACAGATATTTCTTGCTTTTTTTAATTTTATTTTTTGGGAAGATAAGCTTTTCATACTCCAGAAAATAAGCTTTATTATATGTCTCTGCCATCTCAATTTCCTCTTTCTACTGTCTTCCATGTATATATTTTTTAATATCTTTATTTTTATTTATTTTTACGTGGTGCTGAGGATCAAACTGAGGGCCTCATGCATGCGAGGCAAGCGCTCTATCACTGAGCTTCATCCCCAGCCCCATTTCAAGTTTTGGTTAAATTATTATTCTGTGTCTACATTTCTATGACTGTACAGGCATTGTTATTACATTTCCTTTCCTGTAGAGTATTTTGTTTTTTCTAGAGTTGATTGTTCTATTTTTGATGCCCTTACATTTTTTTAAAAATAAAATACCTTTATTTTATTTATTTTATGTGGTGCTGAGGATTGAACCCAGGGCCTCCAGTGTGCCAGATGAGTGCTCTACTGCTGAGCCACAACCCCAGCCCTTGATGCCCTTACATTTTAAAAATGCATTTAACATTAATTTATAGCCAGAATTACTTACTTAAAAGTTACTCTCAGTGTGGTCAATCACATCAGGCAGCCTATTAGTTACACTTCTTACTTGGAGACATCCTCTGCCCTCTTATATAATCTTTTTTGCTTCTTTGTTGACCTACTACTGAACTATTCTCTAGGAACTTACTTGCCTTATCCTGCTTGTTTTCTTCATTTCTTTCCTGTGCTGTGTTTCCTATTTCCTGGATCCTATGTCTGAACTTTTCTCCAGTCTGGTGACTATTAGCTGCTCATTTATCTTTTTAAAATTTATTCCCATTAGTTATACATGACAACAGAATGCATTTCAACTCATTGTACACAAATATAGTACAAACTTACAATACTCAAGAGGCGAAAGCAGCCCAAATGGCCATCAACAAATGAATGATAAAGAAATTCTAATCTATACACGTAGTAAAATAGTATGTAGCCTTAAAAAGAAGCAAATCCTGTCACATGCTACAAATGTGGATGAAATTTAGAACATTATGCTAAGTGAGAAAAGCCAGTCATAAAAAGACAAATACTATATGATTTCCCTTACATGAGGTATCTAAAATAGTCAAACTCATGGAAACGTAAAGGAAAATTATGGTCTCCAGGAACAGATCTGTTACCCCCCAATAACCCCCAAAGAGGTGAAATGTCAGACATAATAAAATATGCCCTATTAATTTTGTCTATTTAACAAAGATCTGAGAATTACTGTGCTCACAATTTTCTACATGATCTAGTTACCCTGAGAAGTGTGGAGTAGTAAGTTGGAACACATCTCAGGGTTTAAGGGATGCTATTAAGAAATTCAAAAGGATAACAGGTGAAATCAGGGCATAGGGAAAATGCCTGGGAATACAAAAAGAAGTAAATACCCACTGTTCAAGATTCTGCACCTACCTCCCAATTTAACACTCATTCTTCCCTTATGAAATGATAAAAGAGGAAGACTGTTATATTGGGTGACAAATCAGGGCCAATCACATTTTGTAGGGAGCATTGTTTTGAAGGAGGTGTTTTCATCATTCCAAATTACTACAGTGGGGGCTGGAGATGTGGCTCAAGTGGTAACGTGCTCGCCATGCGTGGGGCGCTGGGTTCGATCCTCAGCATCACATAAAATAAAATAAAGATGTTGTGTCTACCGAAAACTGAAAAATAAATATTAAAAAATATTAAAAAAACAAATTACTACAGTGGGTTTTTTTCCAGACACATGATTGAAAGTAAAAAAAAAAAAAATAACAAGATCATCAAACAAATTGGTAAAAAGAATGGAAGATTTACCCTAGTTCTCATAATTGGTCATCATAATTTTCTTACTATGATGCTAGAGAGAGAAGACATGCACACTCATATCTTTGGATTCATATCCTTAAATTGCTGTGATTAAAAGCAAACAACAACAGGGACTAGGGTTGTGGCTCAGTGGTAGAGTGCTCGCCTAGCATATATGAGGCCCTGAGTTCGATCCTCAGCACCACATAAAAATAAATAAATAAAGTTATTGTGTCCAACTACAACTAGAAAATAAATATTTTTTTAAAAAGCGAACAATGATAAAATAGCAGACCAAACAACAAAAACAAAATATCAGTTTCCTCCAAAATCTCCAGGGCTGAACACCCAGGAAAGCACTTTGTGGTTTAGCTTAGATTACCTGCTCACACTTTGAGCCACTGAAAAATAATTTTGAGTAGTTCTCATTGAATGCTTCCATTATTAGACTAATGCATAGTTACAGATAATAAAGTTTAAATTAGCAAAAAGAGATTATAGACTAGTGATATAGTTTGGATATGTGATCCTGTTAGTGTTTGAATATGAAGTGTACCCCAAAGGCTCAGGTATTGGAGACTTGGACCGTAGTGCAGCAAGACTCAGAGGTGGAGCTGTTGGGTGGTGGTTGGATGGT